GCAGGTCGCGTGTCGAGGCGCCGGGGAACGCGAGACGCGTGGGCTGCGGGGGGCCGGGGGGTGCAGCGTGGTGACCGCTGAGGAGACTCACGTTTACCTCGTGTGGTTTGAAGGCAAGCGTGGTATTTGGATAGTTGTGCTCAGCTGCTTAGTAACAGACCCCTGAATGAAGTAATTCAACATTTCAGTGTGTCAGAAAGAAGGAAACCCTGTGAGGAGCCCCGTGGCCAGCATGCGGTTTGCGGTCATTCCCCCGTGTTTGGGGAGGTGAATGCCATGTTGCGCGGGTGTCATGGGGCTCGCTTGTGGTGGGGTTTTGGTTTGGCTGATCTGGAAGACTTTTTGTGTGACGTGTCTTTCATCCAGAATATCTTTCATTTGTTTCTTCCCCATTAATTTTGCCAAAATGAGCTAGATGCCCAAGAAGCAGGATGAAATAAGAATGAACCTGTTTTTTTCCCCCAACTTGTTCCTACTGAGTCCTTGACCTCCATCCTGCTCTTTCAGCCACAGCAATGACAGAAAACTGCAGCAAACCCAAATTTATTTTTATGTGATGTTTATCTCTTTAATTTGGACTGATTTAATAAGTTATTAGTTATGAGCTGTTTAGCTGCATAGTAAAGTATGCTTTACTTTTCCATCCTAATTTATTGTTTTCATCTTGTAATTTTTTATTTATAACCTATCTGTTGTATAATTGCTATTGAATATTTACATGGTGGAAGAGTCGTTCCTCAACCATACAATTTGTCTAACTGGGAACTGAACGTGGTGGCAGAGGACGGTGCCTACGCAGAAACTGTGCATTTGAGAAACATGCCCACAAAGCCTTCCTTGCCCAAAATGCGGATGCTCTCGGAAGTTACAGCAGAGATTTTTAAAACGCAACCTTAGCGTACGGTCACTTCCCCCTTAAGCCGAGTCCCAAAGTGCATCTTCTGCTGCGGAAGGATGGCTGTCATCTTAGCAGCTCCTTCATGCAGTGTGTTTACTTTACAAGCATGAAGAGGGTCTGGCTGGGAGACAGAAGCCAAGCCATGTGCTGAAGTCTCTCCGTGATGATCTCCCATTTGCTTGGGAGTGGACGTTGTGGCAGGGCTGGGGGCTCACTGGATCTGGTTTCAGTGTAATCTTCCTGCAGTCCCTGTATAATTAAAGAGGGATTAAGCTCATTTAGTAGATGGTTTGGATTAGGAGCATGACAACTGCTGTAAATAATCATCCCGCTCCTCCTCCCCGCCCCCCTCCGCCCCATTTCCTATAGAAAAAAAAATACGGTAAATAAGCGTCATCAGTCTTAAATTATCATTGGCAAATACATCCCTTCTCCTATCTCTTCTCCTTATGGACAGATTAGTGTGGGGACCAAAGCGGGGGGCCTGCGATGAGAGCTGGTGAGGACAGGGGATGTCATTAGGAAGTGGATTTTCCTGTGTGCAGCTGAGGGGCTTTCTGCTTTCTGCATCCTACTTCATCATCATTTGTGGTAGGAAGTGGTTGACCTTCGATAGTAAGTAGCCCATCGTCAACTGGACAAGTTGTGAGCACGCCCTGTTATAACCCTGTGATGTGGTTAAGGTGAGGAGCACCTTCAGAAGGCCCGTCTTTCTCTTACAGGAATAATAAGCTCAAGTCTATGCAATTGCTTATTCCTTTACAAAGGCAAAAGAAGATCTCTTTTGAAAGAGTTCTATTATTCTTTGCATTTGTGAGGAAAACAAATCTATTATAGAAATAACAAATCACTCACGGTACTATATTATATTGTAATTGAACATTAAATTAGGGCATTCTCTAGTGCCATTTCAGCAACATTTGTATATCTGAAGGATTTTCAAGTACTATTTGTTAATATTTCTGCATAATTATTTCTGTCTCTGCTGCACAGCTGAGGAACATAATTTAAGTTTGAGAGATTGACTTTTAAATGGAAGCAAAGTTTACAACTTGACTTTAAAAGGGCAACACAGACATTGTGCAGAGTAGCACTCCGTTCTCTGGTCTGTGATTCTGGTGGTCCTTTACTGCTAACAAGAATAAAAAGAAGATAATGTACGTGCTTCCTTCACTGAAACCACCAAAAGCAATTTGGTGTCACACTGTGTCCATGCTGCATACTTCTGCTAGTTGCAAGCCCTCTTGCCTAGTATGATCTTAGTAATCGGTGTGAGTATGGGCACGAGGGACTGACCCCTAACCATCAGATCTACTGAGAGATCCCTCAGATCTACTGAGAGTGAAGCACTGCTTTGAAAGTCAATCTTCCAGACTAGTTTTTTTCTTCATTTTGAGATGTTTTTCTCAGTGCACCTAAAACCAGCTAAGAGATCACTCATAATTTTGCTCTTCTTTTGTTCTATTTTTATGCACTTTAGAAACAGAACATGCCATACATTTAAAAACTGAGTGGGTGTATTTCTACCTTAATTATTAGGAATGGTTAAGTTTTGAAGCAGAAGAACAGTCTTGCTGTTCTCAGTACTTCATATTCAGATGCGAAGCTAACTTTCTTCTTATTGTCTTTTTTTTCAATGCAGAACTATGGTTTGGAAACAGAAAATCTAAAAACCCTTTCTCACAAACTGAATGCGTCTGCCAAAAATCTGCAGAACTTCATCACTGGGAGGAGGAGGAGTGGCCACTATGATGGAAGGACCAGCCGCAAGTTACCAAATGATTTTCTGACATCGGTAGTGGATCTGATTGGAGCAGCTAAAAGTCTGCTGGCTTGGTTGGACAGGTAAAATCTCCCAAATGTGTCACAGGTAACCAGATCACACACACGCACAAACCCCAACTTCTTTACAAAATGTAATGTAGACAGTGAAATGGAAGCAGAATTAATTTACAAATTCTGAGAGAATGTAGCAATTTTTTCTTGTTAAGTCAGCATGCAATTCAGATACCATTTCAGTACAATACTTCTAAATGCACTGCAACCCTACATGTATCTGGAAATACAATATAGCAACAGGATGACATCATTAGGTTATATATGTATTTTATTATTAATATAGAAGAACACTTTGACCTGCATAACTCAGAGTCATTGCTCTGATAGTATCAAATTCACAAAACTGTGATCATGCGTTTCATTATATAGGTGTCAATATATACTTCCTCTGTGTGTGTGTGTGTATGTGTAAACATGCACGTTGCATTTCAGGTTTTTTAAATGGCAGTGAAATGCCTCTGAAACTGTAGATGCAATTGGAACTGTCATATACTTTTATCTCTATTACCTAGGAAGTAGGTGGGACCAGGACTTAAGTGCTCTCCTTTACTATATCTATAGTGACATTTTTCTAATGATAACAAGAGTAATATGCAGGTATTTAAGATGATCATTGAAACTCCTGAAGTGGTTAAAATCAGTCTACCTGTATGTCTTTATAAAATGCATCACAGTGCATTTTTAACAGTGAAAATAAAATGCTTATCTTGATTTAAAGGTGTATCTTATTTTGTATCCAGCAGCTGAAGTTTTGTTCAGAGTATGATCTTCGTGTAATTCTTAAAATCCAACAGAATTGTTTGGATTTACTGCTGTGGGTTTTGTTGTGTTTCATTTTCTTGAGGAAAACTGGCATCTGTCCCATAAATGATTTCCATATGAAAGGTTTAGGTGAGACATGAGTCTTTCCCATGTCTTAAGCTGAACTGCAAACTCTTTTGTTCAACAGACTGCAGCTACCACTGCTTCTTCTTTTCTCCTCCCTTTCTAGCCTTTCCCCAAGTTTCAAACCCAGAGTACCTAAAGTTGGGCTCCTAAATTTCTATTTAGATATTTAACATTAGATGTGCAGAGAAGCAATATGGTCTCATAGAAAGAGTTTGGTATTGAGACTTGAAAAACTGGGAATATAATTTTAGCTCTGCTTCTAGCCTGTTGTTGTTACTTGGAAGACCTGTAGGCTTCACTTTTTCTCCCTGCAAATCATTTTTGGCAGAGAACAATGCATCACTCTGGGCTTTAAAACAGAAGGAACAGTAGAAACCCATGTTCTTTTGCGTAGGCAGATCAGTGTTTGCCACTTCTTTCTATTTCAAAATAACCTTGATTGTTTTATCATTGGAATTGTGGCTAATGGATAAAGACTGTTAGTTACAAAGTTGAGATTTTTTTTTTTTTTGCATAAAATGCATAAAATAGTCTGGTATTAAAAAGCAAACTTTCACATATAGATATGTTTAACACATTGAGAAACAATGTAGTTTTGGCATCTTAATATGAATTTGGTAGTTGAACTTTGGGAAGAAAGTAGTTGTTGATGCTAGGAAACATCTGCACCTGAGCACTAATGTGTCACTGTAGTACTGTGCAGTGCACCCAAATTATGCACTTTAAGTGTTAAAAGACAAACCCAGTCTGTAAAATTTGTTTGTAGCTCAGAAGTGTGTTGGGAATTACCTGTTAGTAAAATTATGTTTATAAAGGCAGCTATATTGTATTTGTCAGAGATAATTCTGTTAGCAGGTTTTACAGTTGGTGGGGGAAGATCTCTAAAATAATTTCTGAAAACATGCGTATCAATTCTACTCCCACTAAAATGCAAAATGACTTTTGCATTTATCTGAAATGATAGCTGATCAGACCCAGGAGCTCCAAGAAGTTAAAAGTGAGGGCAGCCATGGTGGTAGCCCCCTTTTAGCAGCGCTGTCTTCAGTGTCCAAATAAGGCTTCCTAGAAGTCATATTTTAATTTCATTCAGATTTCTGGGAAGGTCCTTTTGAAGATCTGTGTAGCTTAGACACCTAGTTCTGGCAAATGTTTTCTGTAACATTTTAAGACTTTTCTGATCTATGAGGGTGTGGGTATTTTGGTTAAGTTTGTTCTTCCTTCTTTGTGAAGCCCCCAAATTAAAATTAAGGCAGGCCAATGACTGCATTTTTCTCAGGAAGTGGGAACATCTGGAGATCAATAGGATTCTGATTATTATATTCCTTCTAAGAAGCTATTGGGGCCACTAGGGGGAGATAGAAAGATTTTTAAAAATAAAGTATTTAAGGTCAGGAACACTGATTTAATTTTATTCTGCACAGCTGTTACTATTAAATCTGGGCCCCAAATATTAGTTTTTGGTTGGTTTCTAACACCAGTTCCATCTCTGGGGTGTGAGAGAGAGGGGAAAGCAAACCATTAGGAGGAATAAAGTGGCTATTAGGGTTATCCACCCCATTGTACCAGCCATATTAGGCTGCCCCTGTGCAGTGTTTTTCAGGTCACATCTGGAAAAAGCAGCTAACAGCAGCTCCAGCTTGCGTAGAAATGCAGTGATGTGGTTTTTATGTGTAGGGATTTGAATGGTGATGACTCCATACAACTTGTGCTTTACTTGCTGCTCTAGCGAACTCACTTTTTATGATGTTTCTGTAAGACACTTACAATCTATAAGGACCTTGTTAGGCCAGGCACAATTATTAAAAGGAGTGTGAGAGCTGTATTTTGCTGAGTTACTTTCACTGTGGCTCTCGCAGTGCCACTGTGCAGGGCCGATCCAAGGACGCTCTTTGTTCCAGGTCTCTGCCTGGAGCAGTCCTACTTCCAGATGTATGTCAGAGATTGAGTTTTACTGAAAATTAGGGTAGCTTTTATTGCTAGGCTTTAAAAGTCTTCTGGTTTAGTTTCATTCAGGAACTGGACTAGCTATTTGCAGAAGAGGTTGGCTGATGATTTTGCGGAGCGTGAAATAGCTCTCCACTAACATCCTGTAAAGAAACTGTCATCACACTAATAGATTATGTCCTTAAACTTTTTAGACTAATTTTAACTTCCTGTTACTTTCTCAGCCCACAAAATCTATCTTCTCTTCCAGAAGACTTAAAACAAATGTTTTAGCTTAATAATGTTTTATTTTATTTTTTTTTCAAATTTTTCCAAGCCAATTTGCTGATGAGATTGGTGCTTTCTTGAAAAACTATGAGAGTCTTTTGTGAAAATATGGTGCCTTTCCACTTGACAATTAACTTAGCTCTTAGGCTGATGGAAAACCATACTTTAGGCGATAGCAGCAAACTACTTATCTGATATTCAAAGCAACTTGGCATCGAAGTGTCTCCAGTGATACTTCTCAAGAATTAGAGAATAATATATACTATCATCTGGGTGTTCTAGACTTCCAGATAGAGCATTGGTGTCTTTATTCCTGTAATTCATGAAGTTGTATTCGTTGGAATAGTAATATATGCCATCTTTCTGAATCCTCCTTCTTCTCTGATGTGTCAAGTTCCTGGAAATTCTTCTGCCTTTTATAGGGCTGGCATACTCCATCCTGGGAAGGAAACCTCAGTGCTTTCTGTGCAATGTGTTTCCTTTGCTGACATTATGTATAGCAGCTCTGATAAATGTATTTCTCAATGTTTCTTTTGAATTACAGTGAAAACACACACAACCTTGCCTTCAAAGTTTGGGCAACTCATTTTATGCAAATTTATTGTTCAGTGTCAAAGCAGGAGGGAGATAAATACTGTTAAGTAGCACTCTGGTCAAACAAGGAAAACTCTCTGCTTTATACTCCTGACCACAAAGTGTGCTACAGTCTGGAAGCCAAGTGGCAAATGTAATGAGTACAGATCTCCATATCTCCATCTTTTTTTTTTTTTTTTTTTTTTTTTTAGTACAATGTTCAAAAATATAAAATAGGTAGTCAAAGATCTAGGAAAACTGGAATGCTGACAATCAAAAAAATGTAGTTGAAAGGAAAATAAACTGAATAGTTAAAGAAATCCATTAGAACAAATGAAGAAAAAATACAATTGAAATGTGTGCAGCTGATATAAAAATTGAGGTAAAAAGTTTTGTGTCCCTCAAGCTAAACATAAGGTATAAAAGAGAGAATTTTTTAAAATGTATGATTAAAGTAGGATTACTATTATGAGTTCACTACTGTGGATCCACAACATGAATGCATTGCAGTTTTGTGGCATTAAGCTATCTCTAACCTCAAAAAAGTACTTTTTTCTGTACAGTAGTATGTCCAGTAGTATCTGCACACTTAATTGAAATTAGAAATATTTATTTCTGTTAATCCCAGGTAAGGTTTTGTTCTCACAGCACACATTTACAGTCCACCTGAAAACCACTTTGTAAAAGTATTGCTTTGTGTGTGGATGTGTCAGTGTTCACTCTCTGATATTTCTGAATTAAATATACATCATCCATCCATGGCTTTCTTGCTCTAAAAGCACCATGAACTCATGGAGGATTTTGAGAATCAAACTACTTTTTTAACAAAATTATGTCAGGATTTTACCACGTTACTTGTGTCTTCAATGACACTAGTGAAAACTTCATAGTTTTTGTCCAGAGGCAAATATGATTCTATGAACTGAAAAGCAATGAGATGATATCATAGGGATCCCAGAAAATTCTTCTGAGCTCCAAGTTTAGAGTGTTGAGCAATGCTTATAACTAACTTTCTGGTTAAGGCAAAGCCAGCTTTTATACTGTACTCATATCTCGTTCCTTTTCTACTACCTATTGGTTGTACTGCTGAAATTGTGATGAGTCCTGAGTGAAGGGTGCTCAGATTCATCGAATAATTTTTCTCCCAGAACTTACCAAACCATCTGACAGACAGACAGAAGGTTGTATTTGCATCAGAAGTTGGCACTACGTTGTGTGTTGAGTTTGTCTCCTAATGAGTCAGAGGCTGCTGCAAAGTGAAGGCAGCCATGGGAGCAAAAGCATCTTTTACACATCCTTTAAGCACCCCATTTTCCCCCTTTAAGTCCTGCTGT